TGGATGGAGATCTTAGGCAAGTTACTTAATTTCTCTCTCTCTGCTCTACACCTTGATTTCCTTATCTATAATATAAGATGGCTTAATACCCTGGAGGGTTGTAATGAGGATCAAATGAGAACATTCACATGAAATCATTAGCTCTGTGACTGGACTTGGTTGGCTTACATGGCATTTAACATTGTCATGAGATTTTTCCATAAAAGCCTGGATCTCTGACATTTCTGACAAATCAGCAAGTTCTACCGCCACCCACGGGAGCTGAGTAGCAGATGCTCCCCTTAGAAGGCATGTATATTCTCCAAGAGGACACAGCCCCCACCCAGCCCTCTCTACTTCATGGGCTTGGTCCTTTGGAGACACTGAGTTTCCATTCCATGTTGTAAGTCTCCTCTGCTTGTAGTGCAGCCCGACCACCACTGGAAGCTTGTTAGAAATGCAGGGCCCCTAAGGGCCCACCCACAACCTGAGGCATGAGAATTTTCATTTTAATAAGATCCCTGGTGATACTTCCCGGCAATAAAGTTTGAGAAGCACTGTTACAAACCACAGAGCATTATTCCTAACCACAGTGAGGATCAAGATCATCTGGGGAGTTTTCTGCTTGTTTGTTTTCTAGCTGTGTCCAAGGACCTATCCAGACTTGCTGAAATCAGAGTTCCTGGGTTGGAATGTCCAGGCTGCTAAATTAATGCTAGTGACAGGATTGTTCTGTGAACACTTGAGAACTATAGATTCCAGTTTAGATGAAAGATAGCTAATTATGTTATCTTATTGGGATCCTCAGATTAAAAAAAAAGTTTTACTAATAATGACGACTATATAATCTGAATATATTTGAGGTTGCAATTTTGCCTATTGATTGTAACTTGCTAGATGAGGCCTGGTTGCCGGCGAATTGACTTTTGGTAAGGGTGTTGCAGTGGTTTGAAGGGGGTATGTGTTGGTACATGTCCTTGCTCATACCACCTGAACAGTTTCAAGGGAACTAGATCGTTTCAGAAAATTTTCTTCATTATAATGTAGTCTTACTGGTTTGCAGGAGAGCAGTGAGATTCTAGAAACAGTGACCCTATTAGCTGATTTTTTTTCCATTAAAAATACTTTGGATAGCTCTTAGGGAAGTCCTTAACTCATCGTTGCCTTAATAGTTTTCCGATTGTCTCAAACAGGGTGTGCCTTCAAACCTAATAGTTATTATTTCTTAAATTACTTTTCCAAGGCTACACATTGCTTCTTCAATGCCCTTAGTGACTTAACCTCCCTTTGTATGGTCAAACCAACCCTCTTCTGGAGTTTATTTGGCCAAGATATCAGAGATGCCGTATTAGAAATTTCTAGTGTTAATACATTTTTTAATATAAAACCTTACTGTATAGTAAGTTTATATTTGATTAATTTACATTTTCAATTTACTTTCAACTAATTTTCTTTAATTCTTCTTAAGGTAGACTTTTCATATAAATATTTGCTATTGATCATTTTCTTTATCATTTTGTTTAGCAGTATGAAATGAACAAAGGCATGCTTGAGAGTTTTCATATTTAATTGTAATGTCCTTATCACTTTATCAATTATTGGAAACTTTTGATTCTGTCGCTTCATTCAGATTGGGTAAAGTAAAAAGTTACTGAAGATCCGCTATTGTGACTGTAAACTAGATCTATGGACTAGTGGTGTCAGCATCAGCTGGAAGCTTGTTAGAAATGTAGAGTCTCAGCCAGGCACTGTGGCTCACGCCTGTTATCCCAGCACTTTGGGAGGCCCAAACGGGCAGATCACCAGAGGCCGGGAGTTCGAGACCAGCCTGACCAACATGAAGAAACCCCGTCTCTACTAAAAATACAAAATTAGCCGAGTGTGGTGGCGCATGCCTATAATCCCAGCTACTTGGGAGGCTGAGGCAGGAGAATCGCTTGAACTTGGGAGGTGGAGATGGCAGTGAACTGAGATCATGCCATTGCACTCCAGCCTGGGCAACAACAACAAAAAGAAAAGTAGAGTCCCAGGCCCACTGCAGACCTACTGAAGCAGAGCCTGAATTTTAAGATACCCCAGCAGGTGATTTGTGTGCATGTTAAAGAGTGAGAAGCTCTGGACTAAATGGTTTACTACTTACTTCTACTTTAGGATGATCAAAAATAGATGGTGGTGGTGAAAATAATGTACAGAAAGTATCTTCTTTCCCGTCTGCTGAATCTCTGCTTTTTTCTTCTTAAATTTCTTTTTAATGAAGATACTGCTGTATCCACATTGTCTCATGATCTCTCCAACCATCCATAGTGTCATTCTTTTGGACAACCTTCCTCTTAGAGCAAGCTTGCCCTGGGGCCCTCCTTTGAGTTCTCTACTCTTTCCTCGTTAGTATTTTATTTGGAGACACATATAGCCAGTATGGAACTATCTGTGCTTTGCATACTTTTGATTGTCCAGTCTCTCTACTTGCATCTGCCGGGAGCTGGTCTGTCATTTAAGCTATACTGAGTCTGTTCCTTAGCTGGCGCTGCCTCTTACCTCTGGCTGCATGTTAGAACCACCTGGTGAGATTTAAAACAGATTAGCACCTCAGTTCCATCCCAGATGAGTTAAATCAATTTCTAGAGGTGGGTTCTGGCAGCGGTCATTTAAGTCAGTTTCTGAGAACAGGGTCTGGGTGATTCTGATGGGCAGCCATGCTTTAAAACCCCAGGGCCCCATGATATTCATTCTTCATCCATCTACCATCCATTCATTCATCGATCTACCCCACAAACACTTCATGAGTTTCTACTGTGTATTAGATGCTTTTCTAAGTTCCAAGAGTTTTTCAGCCTCAGCACTGTTAGCACTTTTAGCTGGACATTTGAAGGGCTGTCTGGTGCACTGTAGGGTATTTAATGGAATCCCTGGCTTTTACTCACTTGATGTCAGTAGTGACCTCTGCAGTTATGACAAACAAAAATCTCCCCAGAAATTGCAAAAAAAGTTCTTTGGGGGCAGAATTTCCCCCAATTGAGGACCATTGTTCTAGGTCTATTGATGGAAAATTTTATTATTCAGTCTAGGTCTATTGATGAAAAATTTTAAGTGCCTAAAGATGCTTAAAACAGATAATTACAGTAGGGTGGGACAAGCATAGTAAGAGCTTTAGAACAAAGTACATAGACAACACTACAGAGGGATGGGGAGTGGCGTTTAAGCTGAGCCTCCAAGGATGAGTGGTTATATGCTGGGTGTGCAAAAAGGAGAATACTGCATAGTGAGAATAGCACTTACGAAGGTGTGGAATTATTATGAGATATTGTGATCTACTTTTCATTCATCCCATCTCCCTCTACCTCGGCTGTTTAATATTTCTCCTTGTGTTGACAGTATCACTACATTTATCACTTTGCTATGAAACTGTAAGTCATCTGCCCTTAATTACAAGGTTGAGTCTTCTTTTAATAACAGCTTTATTGAGATATAATTTATGTATTTGTATTAGTTTCCTATGGTTGTCACAACAAATTACCACGACAGAAGTGTATTCTGTCACAGTTTTGGAGGCCGGAATTTTGAAATCAAAGTGTCACCAAGGCCACACACCATCTGGAGGTCCTAGGAGAGAACACTAGAATACTTACGTGCTTCTTCCAGCTTCTCCTGGCTATGGGCATTCCTGGCTTCGTGGCCACGTCACTCCAGTCTCTGCCTCCCTCTTCACATTGCCTCCCTCCATCTGTGTGTGTTAATCTCCCTCTGTCTTTTTTGTATAACAACACTTCTTATTGAATATAGGGCCCACCCAGAGAATCCAGGATGATCTTCTTATCTCAAGATGCTTAATTTAATTGCATCTAGAAAGACCCCTTTCACAAGTTACAGGGATGAGGATGTGAGTTTTTGGGAGCCACTGTTCACCAGCTTCCTACAATTCATCCAATTAAAAGTGTACAATTCAATGGTTTGTAGTATATTTACAGAGTTGTACCTCCATCACCACTATCAATTTTATATTTTTTTCACCCCCCATAATGCAACATTGTAGGTATTAGTAATCACTTCCCATTTTTCCCCAACCCCAGCCCTAGGCAATCACCAGTCTTTCTGTGAATTTGCGTAGTCTGAACATTTCATATAAATGGAGTCATATGGTATATGGCCTTTTGTGACAGGCTTCTTACACTTAGCATAATGTCTTCAAGATTCATCCATGTTGTAGCATGTATCCATACTCCACTCTTTTCCATTGTTGAATAAGTCTCAATTATATGGATATATCACATTTTCTTATCCATTCATCATCTGATGGACGTTTGGGTTGTTTCCACTTTTTGGCTATTACATCCAATGTTGATGTGAACACTTGTGTACAAGTTTTTGTGTGGATGTATGCTTTCATGTCTCTTGGGCATATACCTAGAAGTGGAATTGCCAGGTCTCTGGTAACCTTCTCAGGAACTACCAGACTGTTTTTAAAGCTGCTGCACCGTTTTCCATTCCTACCAGTCGTGCATGAAGGTTCTAGTTTCTCCTGTTTCTTTTTGTCTTTTAAAAATTTAGTTCTATTGTCAATTCTGCATTTTCTGATAACTTTCTCACCAAGGGTAGAAAAATATTTCCATTCCGTTTCTGTTAATGTCACAATTCTTTTTTTCTCACTTTAAGAAATGAAAGGCGATCAGTTCTTATCTATTCTGCATATATCGTTTACTTTTGGTCTCACTCTACTTCCCAGAAACTTAGTAGAAAGCAAAATATTAACTTCTGTGTGTGTCTCCACATCCATAGTCATTTTAGCTCCACAACCTGTCGTGTTCTCCCTGAGCTGTAAGCTCAATGAGAGTAGGCGCCCTGATCTTTCTATTTTTCTTGTGAACTGTCTGCAGCTTGTGGTGACTATTCAGTAACTATTAAATGAGAGTGTGATATTGCCTCATGTGTAAAAGGATTTAATATTTTACAGACTGAGTTATTTTTCTTAATTATGCATACATTTGTGAATCTCTAATAACTGTGGTTATTGTTTTTATGTGCAGATGAGCAGGAGACTAAAGATGCAGCAGAAGAACGTAAAGAACCCTAACCAAGGACTTGCTGGGTGTGCTTTTAAGAAAGTTGGTAATTAAGTTAAATTACATTTTTGATTGAATTATTTGAATTCAATGAATGCATCGTAGAGACTATTCTTTACTGATTTTGACATTTGGAGTCACTCTTTGTGGATTATATTTCCTTGACACTTTCGAGACTTGGAGTGTAATTGTTCAAGGGTTTTTGCTCATTAAAATTTCTGGGACCATTGTTTATAAATTTTTGCAATCTTACAATGTGAGGATTCATTATAAAAACTGACATTTTAGTGTATACTTGTCAGGGTAAAACTTGTTGAAGTGCTGTGATTGTCCTGTATTCAGTTTTGTATGTTTCGCCTCTACTGGGATTCAGACAGATCATGGTGGTCACTGGGAATTTTTGCTGTGGCCATGCTTTTCCTTCTTCCCACCTGTGTCATGCCTGTGAAATTGATACAACCTGCCATAAGATGAAATGAATTTGCCACAACAAAGCAATGTCAGAAGAGCCTTTACTATCTTATTGGTGATGACATGTTTCTTAAGTAGGAGTTTGACTGAATTATTTGATATATTACTTTGTTAATAATAGTCAACACTAGTTTCTTATTTTCTTTCAGAGTTTGGGCCTTTTAGATTGCATCAAATAAAAATGAGCTACTTAAAAGAAAGTCTGCAGTACTATTTTAAGAAAGATAGTTTAGTTACAAGTCAGTAACTTAGACTCAGGAGAAAGTGTTATGTTGACATTCCATAAGATGAGTTGGCATTAGAATTGGAAGTCCAGTTTATTTCTGAATCAATAAAATGAGCAGGCTATTGTGCTGCCTTTAATAAAATGTGGAGTGATGTATACATAACATTATTTTTGCTGGCACATGTTCATCCACTGATAGTGAATAACATTAATGATTGCTTATATGGAAGTTCCTTGACTTTTTAAAATGAGGAATTCTATAGCTGCTATTTTCAGAGGTATTGATAGGCAGTTTCTTTTTCCAGACACTCTATTTCAGTTTACTATTTGTTCATTTAAAGTAGCAATTGTTCATGCTGATGTCAGTGTGCTACATACAACTTATCTTGATGCCAAGAGTTTTGCTGTGGGATGGAAGTGTAAGTTAAAAGTCATGATTTTAGATTCTCAAAGGAATGAAATGAGGTGCACTCTGTGTTTTAGGGTTTGGATGGGAAGAATCAGAGGGCAAAAGTGATATGGGTGAGAATTTGTTGTGGGACAGAGAGGGGCCAGTGCTGTCCGTCAGCCTTTCAGAGGAGTTCAGCTTTCTAAATCTATGCTTTTCTGGTATTTGATGTTTGTATGTATGAGAGAGAGAGAGAGAGAGAGAGAGAGAGAGAGAGAGAGACCGAGACACCAGAGAGAGGAGGGAGGGAGGGGAGTGGAGGGAAGGGAGGAAGAAAGGGAGGGAAGGGGGAGAGAGAAAGAAACACAGAGTAAAATTATTTCTAGACTTGCACTGCAAAGGGCTTATGACTTCATAGTTTGCTTCTGCCGATGATATTTGGGACATAGTGAGCCTTTCTGTTATATAGGTAAGGGAGAAGAAAATAGAGTGTTCTAAGTAATGAATTCTGCCATAAAAGAAGTGAGACCATTCCATAGCATGTCAACGGAAGTAACTCTAACAAGGACTGGTAACTAAATCTGTAATATAATTCAACACGAAGCTTCTGGATTTTTTTTTTTTAAGTCACCCTGATTTAGATAGAAAGTGTTCTTATTAAAAATAAATGTTTTTATTTTGGATTTCCCTTTAGGGCTTAGTGTTTGACCAGAACAAGGTGAAACCCCATCTCTACTAAAAATACAAAATTAGCCGGGTATGGTGGTGCGTGCCCGTCGTCCTAGCTGCTTGGCAGGCTGAGGCAGGAGAATTGCTTGAACCTGGGAGGCAGAGGTTGCAGTGAGCTGAGATTGTGCCACTGCACTCCAGCCTGGGTGACAGAGCGAGACTTTGTGTCAAAAATAAAAAGAAGAAAATTATAGAAGACAGAGAGGGCTAATTAATTTAAGGAATGAATTTAGGAGCTTAAAATTGGAGGCTTTTCTACATGTGACTCTTTAGAAAAAAAACTGCTGGCACCACCTTTATTGTACATTCCTATAAGACCTAGAGTTTATTGCTCTTCAAGTTAGCTCTCCCACAACACATGACAATAAACTGTTGGAGGAGGAAAAAAGCTATCATCTTAATGACATAATTTTAATTTTTAACAAGTCCTTTATTTCAGTACAACCTGATTATTTGAAGGTCAGCCCTAGGGTGCAGCTGGAACATGCCTGAAAGAAAAGCTCCTCTTTCCAGTCGCTTTTTCTGTCTTATTTTGGTATTTTCAATCAGTGTTGCTTCACCATCCAAGAATGAATTAGAATGATCTCCTAGCACTTCACACGTTGAACTCGTCTGAGAATGAATGATGCTATTTAATTCTTTGCCATTTCAAAGAATTATTTCCTTTATATCAGTTTTCCTAACTCCACAGCGATTATCAATACTTTCTAGTTCTTGCTTCTTCACCTTGGTACTATAAAATGATTTGGCAATTTCCGTTTATATGTGATCATTGCTACTCAGAAAGATGAATATTTATAGAAGGAGAGTGAAAAATCAACAAGGAAGATTTTCTGTCACCCAGCCAGTCCTTTCTAGTGTTTAACAGACCTCAAAGCCAGACCTTTAACCTACTCATAAAATGTCTTCTTTGATCTGTTTTCATTAAGACTAGAAATTAGTCAGTACTCCACATTCATGATGGGCCCATCCAAAAGTCAAGGTCTGCTTACTGGTACAGTTGGGCCTTTTCTTCACACGATAATTTGTATTTAGACACACATGCATTTATGCAGTCTTTCCAAATTTTACATTTTTTAGTCATCTTTTCTGATTAAACTTATTATTCCTTCTTCAAAAGGTGGTAGCTGTAATGCTTGGCTCAACTTTGCAAGGACAGCTCCTCCCTTGTTCACATTTACTTCCGAAGTGTCTCCACAACATACAATCGTGTTGCCCACCCAGTGCATCATTCCTGGGTCAGAAAATGTCACTGCAAGAGTTGCGTGTGCTTCAGTGTTTTTCCCTTTGTTTTCATACTGCACTTTGAAAAGGATTCAGTAACATCTAATGACATTAATATGAAATTTTATTCTTATGGGGCCCTTGACTTAGGGATAATTTCTCTTTTATATGTTTCTGATATGGCAGGCTAATGTATCATTTTGTTCTTTTATTCCACAAACCCAGCAAATTCTAAGCCTAGGCCTGAGCAACTCAGTCTTTCTAAAGCACATACGAACTGTGAATGTTGCTATGATTTACTGTAATTTTTTTGTATATGCTATATTGATTTATGAATGGTATTTACCTATATACCTCATGACATAAAGCCAGTAGAGAACAAATAAGCATGGATACAGTAAGTATAAATATAAATTTCCATATGATTTATTGTTGTTCCTTGTACATAAGAAACAGTAATATACAACTTACACTGCTTTAGAATGTAAAATGGATAAAAATGTGTACAAAAAAAGCACATTCCTAGAAAAAGGTATTGGCAAATAGTAAAAATAGGGGGAGGTCAAAAGCAAAAAAAAAAAAAAAAAAAAAAAAAAAAAAAAGGAAAAAACCAACAATTCTTCAGTTCAGTGTGCAAACATTATATAAAAATAGAAATAGTAACGCTACAGGCAGTATTTCCTGATAAATTATTTAAATAGCATATCTACACAATCTGAGATCTCTATTCCAATGGCAATGAGAAAATAATTTATAAAAATAAAGCAATGGTATACAAGATGATAGGAAAAAAAAACACATAACTTTCAGAAATTGTATTTAACATTTCAATGCTATTTCCTTATTGGGAATACTTCTCTGCGGCGTTTTTATAGTATGTACAACATTGACTTTTTAGGTACTACAGTAGCTTTAAGTTTGTTAGACACTTAAACTCTTTCTGCTCGATCCAAAAATTCTTTACTCAGTCACACAACAAATGAGGTAATATTTGTATGTAAGTTTCACCTTTGTCATTTTTTTCTCTTTTGGAAAAATCAAAGAAAAACGTGTATATGCTTTCCTTCTCCCTGGAAATAGGCACAAGGGATGGGGTAAAACAGGATTGAAGACCTCATGGCTTTCTTTGCAATTTAAAACATTTGCAAATGGATAACCAACTAATTCCACTTGAAAAGATAAAACAAAGAAAAAAGAATCCCAGAACATCCACTCTGGGCACAAGGGGCAGAGCAGCTCATTAGGCTGATTTTCCTTGTGCTGTTCTTGCAAGAGATTTGCTGATAAATGTCAACTACTTGCTGTCAAACACTTTCCATATGAAGCCTAAATTCCAGGCAGAACAGAGTTAATAAATAATCTGTATTTACAATCTTACAGTCACGAAGACTCTCAACAAAGATGACATGGATAGTCTTTACGCTTCTTCCTGTTCCTTGAATAATCCTTCAGCCAGATCTTCCAGAATAAGTAAAAAATAAATATTTTACATCGTAAAGCATTTTTAAAAAAATCTACACTCCAAAAGAGAGAATTAGAAAACTCCATGATAATTCAGGAAAAAAGAGAAAAGGAATGTTTTAGTTAGGTTGACAATAATTTTGTGCCTTTGTAACCATTAAAATACAAGCGTGGCTGCCCCTCCTTTGGGAGGCAGCTGGTGCTCACTGAGATGGTAGATTTTCCTATTTTCCTGCTACATCTGCATAAGCTACATCCAGAATGAAACCACCAATTTCAATGTGACCAGGCAATGGCAGCCAGCACTGCCTTACACTGGTTTGATTCGGATTCCCTAATTCTGGCCACTGCAGGTGACAAGTAAGGGGTGGGGATCAGGGAGGAAGTCCAGAAGCCAGTCTTTCTCTCCCTTTCCTGCTTCTATTTAAGTGTCTATTTACATGGGTTAATCAGCTAACACCAGTCAGCATCATGAAATCCAGCAATAGTCTTTCAATCCCCTGAAAATGACTTAGTACCGAACATGTAACAGTTCCTCCATATTTTCTTCATACAATCGTCTCAGGTATGCGCCCTCCCCTTAGTGCTTTGGCCTCTGCTCCCCGTGTTCCTGAAGGAGGATGTCAGGGTGGTTTTGTTTGCTAAGTCTAGTGAGTCCTCCCTTCTCTGACATGCCTGAAAATGCTTGAGTCCACTGCTCAGAGATGGCCTCACAATAGCACCCTGCTCTGTGACACAGGCAGAGTGGAATGGGCACCTTCCCAACGGAAGCAAGTAGATGCTTTTTCAAAAGGAAACCAAAGCAATTGTTTATATGCTTGGAAGATGTCTTATTCATTAGAGGCTGCACGCTGAGTCTGTTTTCGAAAACTGCATTTTCTTGAGGCAGGTCGCATGTTCTAGGAGTCCACACTGATGCAAGCAGAGAAAAAAAGGAAGGCAAGGAGAAGTGATCCTGGGGGTTTTCTCAAGCCCATAGTTCCAGAAGGTGCAATACCAGCATTGGTTTATCATCAGTCTTTCAATCAACAGTTTGATGATTAGGGATCTGTTAAAATAAACAAATATAAATAAATATACAAATGAAAACTAATTCATAAAAGCACAGACATCTTAGTATCAGTTAATAAGTTAAACCACATAGGAATAGCTCTACTTTTCTAATGACAAAAGCCTAATTTAAGATTGTTCAAGCATATTAGCATTTAATTTTATGAGCTGACATTGATACTAGGTGACCAACATGGCATGAACCTTCCAGAACGTATATTATGCTTTCCAAGGCTTTCAATGGTAAAAGTTTAGGGAGTCTTATTTTAAAAATTCAGACTCAAAAATTACATTAATAATTTAGATTTTTTTTTGTGTGTGTGTAAAATCAACCATCTTTCTCTACTCTGATTGATCTTTTCAGTATCTGGCCTTGGCCCAGTAAATATATATTAAGTGCTTATTTTGTGGTAGAGCCAGTGTTGGACTCAGCAAGCTTAAGTAATCACTGAGTAAAAAAGAATGAAGGAAAAAAAAAGCTAAGTTTAATAGTAAACATTAATTTAACATGCCAATATGAAAGCAACATTCCTCTCCCTTCTTTATATACAGGGAAAAGTTGGGAATTCTAACTTGTGCTCTGATGGCATGAATAAAACACCAAGCAGTAAGATATATAAATACATAATTGTAAAGAACAGTATTATTAATGAAGTCCAAATTGTATAGGAGCTTTTCTGCAGCCTACCTTTGCACTGTGTATGAGCAGCACAGAAACTGCTAAGCAAACTAATATTGTAACTAAGGACTCAGGAACTCATAAGCCACAGTGCCTAGGCATTATTCCATTTTTGTCCTTGTGTCCTCACAAGCAAAATAGAAATAACCCTGTCTCCAAAACAGTCTTTACATTGGACTCCCCCATAACTGTCATCCTTGGTATTAGTCTGCAATAGAGATGTCCAGTGTACATTCATGGTGATGTTGCTCTTACCTCTACATTCGTATTTCAGGTCGGAGAAGAACACCATTTCTTGAGAGAAGACAAACAACCCTAGTCTACCACCAGCATAGGTTTTATCATAGATGGGTCCTGAGTCAGCCATGATTTTCTTCCCTTCATACATCACCACTCTGCAGGGAAAAAAAGTCTTGTTTAGTGACAATGCTATTTCATACTTTTTGTCTTTTTGTCCATTAGTGTGACTTTAAGTGAAATTGAATCAGTACGATCATACCTAATGAAACCAGTCTTTGGCCTATGGCTGAGACGCCATCTGTAGGCGGTGAAATCTTTCCAGCCTATGTGACGAGGGTCATGCCACAGGGTGCGCACCTGAAGGAAAAGGAAAAGGAAAAGGAAAGGTTGAAACACAGCTCCTTCAGGTAAAGATTTCTGTTTCATTCCATCAGAAACAACGCTTGAAAGGTACCGAGCTGATCTAAGTTACAGGGCTGCAGTGGGGAATTGTTCCAAGCCCTCTCACATTTGTTGTGTGCCACTGAGCGCACACATAAAGCAGACAGAGAGGAGGGAAGGAGGTTTTTGTTTGAAAAGGCTGAAGGCACCTTAGGATCTGCGGGGCAATTCTTGGTCAAGCTCCCTTTTCAACACTGTTATGTTTTCACAAAGCAGAGCTCAGTGCTGCAGCTGGTGATGCTGGGAACTTTCTAAGACTCCCTGGTTGGAGTCTTGGTCAAAGCACAGTGTCCCCATCGCTAGTCAGGCACCCATCAGCTCTCTCTCTGCTGTAGGGCTTTGCTTCTTACCTGGCCAGGGGTGTTTCCTGTGTGCCACAGGGCATTCCGCAGGTGCTCGCCAGGCCCCGTGGTGGAGTTCACAACTTTCACAGAAAGGCCTGAGTATCCCTGAGCCCTCGTGGGGTTGGTGTCCCAGTAGGACTGGGTGACTTGCTTCCACATCACAACATAGAAGCGGCTGCTGGACTGGTAGCCAAAGACAAATCCAGCATAGTCATCGTCCCTTTCGGTGTTGATGAAGAAGGTGCCACTGAAGTCCACAGCATTAAACTCGTCATAACCTGGAAGATGAGCCCAGAGCCAGGTTAAAACCTGCAGCCTTCAGAAGGTTCTCCATCATGTTCCCAGACATCCTCAGCACCCGCAGGGACAGGTACAACTGCCAGGTTTTCTATTTGTTTTTCTCCATGTATGCATCAGCCTCTTGACCTAAGAACTCACTACTCACCTACAGCGAGTCCAGGGTCACAGTTGACAGTCTGGACGAGTTCTTTGCCCTGATGGCGTACAACCCAGTTAGGGTCATTTTGGGATGTCCCTTTGGGATCCAGAGGAATCATCTGGAATCGGCGGAAATCGGTCTCACTGATGTCAACATTCTCAGGACAGATGTCATCAATGTCTGGCACATTGTCATGGTCAAAATCATCTTTGCAAGCATCACCTCGACCATCACCTGAGGTCAAAAAAGCAAGAGTTCAGCAAAATTCTGAAGTGCTATTATTGTTACTGGTGTCAGAAATGTCAGTTGGCATTTGGTCCCTTCATCCTCTCAAATGCTTTGAGCCTTGTTTTCATTTCCTCAATCTACACAGCCGTGCCAGCAGTCCCTCTCTTAGAAATGGCTCCCCTGACTCACCGTCAGAGTCCTTCTGGTCCGGATTGGGCACGAGTCTGCAGTTGTCCCTGTCATCAGGAATGCCATCGTTGTCATCATCGTGGTCACAGGCATCTCCCTTGCCATCTTTGTCATGGTCAGCCTGGTTGGCATTGGGCACATAGGGACAGTTGTCCAGATTGTTCTGGTGGCCATCTTCATCAATATCCTGATTGTTGTCACAGGTATCTCCAATGCGGTCTGAGTCGGAGTCCAGCTGAAAGAGGGAGGTAAATGGAGGGTAAATTGCATTATAAACCATTCATGTTAAAGATAACTTATGCCCCCACCACAGGGAAAATTCTTCATTGTTTGATCTAGCCAGTGGGGTTTCATGTCTATTTATATACTCCTGCAGAAAGATAGCAATAGTAGCCATTACAGTTTAAACGTTTTTTCCCTTTGTCCTTGTTTTCTTACAAAAACCTGAGAAGGGATAATTTAAAAATGTTTTAAATATAAAACTTTCTAAATAAAATCAAATAGAGTTATTTAATTTTTAAAGATGAAATGAAATGTTAACTGTTAACTGTTAAATGTTTAATGTTAAATGAAATTCTCTGGATACTTTAACAGAGAATTTCCTTAGAAGGTTTCAGTTGTAAAACTGTTGACATGTCAATTTCTCTAAGTCCCGAAAAGATGGCAAAAGATGGTCTCTGCGTTGTATACTGTCTGGGTAGCGTGAATGACAGGGATACATTACTTTGGCTTTTTCTTTTAGGCATTTGATTTTATACACCTAGTATCTATAAGGATTGTCACCTGTAGGCTCAGGTAAAGTCAAACTCTAAATTTTTCCAAAACAGTTTTTCTCAGAGTATTTTATTCAGTGTGCATGGGATGCTTAGGGACTGTTTATATACACACTGGAATTCTTCTTGCCAGTATTTATGGTCTTTGCTTATAAGATTTTTACATCATGCTTGAATTTTGTTGTAAAATTTATTTTTATCTGAGGAATCAAAAACTCATCCAGTGAGGTTACATGATATTGAAATTTAATTTATGGTAAGTTTCAAACTCAAAATAAATGATTATCAGTGCCATCTGATCAGCAAAGCTAACCCAGATCATTCAAGCTTTTGATGGCCCCAGAGCCATTCATCCTATTGTTTTATGTTTGACAAGACTTCACAGGAACAAATCTTAGGAGGGAGAAGCTGGATTTCCTCATTTCTTTAATCTTATAAAAATTTACCATTAAAAAAAGCTGGTTTCTAAGCTTCCAGAACAATTCATTTTAGGGGGAAAAAAGCCTTAAATTTTATCCTTAGAAAATGATGGGCAGTTACACAAGAAAGAAATACTTTCAGACAGAAGCCTGTTCTGTGTAATGTTGATGTGTAGCACTCCTTAGCATAGGTAAAGAACGTTCGTAATGCCAGAAACTTTTGAAGAATGACAAAGAAATGGGGTTTCTCCAAGTTTTGGACATATCCTTAGTTTGATGATTTTCGTAGAGCTAGATTACATCATTAGCCATGAACATGGTTATTTTGCTTGTGCACATTTATTTTTCCATCTCTTAGTATTATATATGATTAATATTACTGTACAGTTGTCAGTCACAAATCTCTGCTTTGTATAATTTATTTTAACAATGGTAGACCATGCAGAGCAAGTCCAGTAGCCCTTCTTACAGAAGGTAAGGCTGAAGTTACGAGATCTTCATGCTAAAAATCTGTGAGACTCTGTGCAAGGAGCTCACATCAGGCAAATTATTTACATGAACATATTCCACTTGGCTATGAGAACCCAGGGAGCCACGGTCATGACAATGTTTGAACTTCGTTAAGCTCATTTTTCAAAGGCCATGAAAGGACTATTCCAACAGTTTACTGAAAGACTCTGAAAGGAGTCCACCTACCTGATCTGGATTGTGTTCCAAGGGGCAGTTGTCACACTGATCTCCAACCCCATCCATGTCAGTGTCTCTCTGGTCCACATTGTAGACATACTGGCAGTTGTCCCGTTCATTGAGGATACCTGAAGAGAACAAGGGACAAATAAGAGCTGGGCTCTCCAGCCTTGGATATGTCCACCAAAGTGCATACTAATAGCCAGGACTAGACAGAAGTAAGTTTGGAAAGCGGTGTCATGTCCCTGTCTCCCGCGGGCCCACTGATCAGGCAGCACCTTACCGTCCCCGTCAATGTCTGCAGCACAGGCGTCTCCTTCCCCATTGCTGTCTGTGTCTGCCTGATCTGGGTTGTGGTTGTAGGGACAGTTGTCACAGCGGTCTCCCACGTCATCTCTGTCATAGTCATACTGAGCTGGGTTGTAATGGAATGGACAGTTGTCCTGCAAAGAGAAGAAATGGAGCACTTAACAGTGTTGTCCCTGAAAAGAGCTCAAGCCTCAAACCACGTGCATAATATGTCTAAAGCTGCGAAAATCGGCAGTAATTACTTTCTACTTTGTGGATAGGCTAATTGAGTACTCAGTGTAAAATCATCACTACAGAAGTTAAAAGGACATAGTTAAAAAATGGATCCCCATTTTAGGTTAGAAGTTAGTGAGATGTAGAATATAATCCCATCATCTCAGTTCGTAGTGTGCCCAAAGTCAATTTCACTGTCATTTCGATGTGACATTTGAAATGAATCTAGGGAACAAAGTGACATTTGTTTATGCATTATAATTTCTCAAGTGCAGAGAAAAACAGTTCTGATGAAAAACAAAACCCTCATTTAAAAATTTTCTTGGCAACATCTACATCCTTAAACTACTGGAACACAATGAATAATTTCTAATTATCCTGTGTATTGATTTGGTATATTTTTTGCTATAGCCATGTAATTTCCTTGAATCCTGAAGTGCTTCAGGCTGTTGCTGAATTAAAAAGATGAAAACGGGATGGAAAACTGTTTTTACCCTGTCATCTGGAATTTTATCATTGTCATCGTCATCATCACAGGCATCACCAATTCCATCCTTGTCATAGTCTTCCTGGCCTGAGTTGGGGAGGTTGGGGCAATTATCCTAGGAAAGAGAAGACATATATCACTGCTTCAGTTGCCTTCCTCATGCTCAGCTCATGCACGAGGAGTGTACCTGGAATTCCAAATAGAAAAAGAACAGAATTCGGCTCAGTAACAGCATATTTTTTTTTTATGGGAAGACAAGAAAGTAAAACTTTTCTTGGGGGATATACATACAGAATTTGTGTAAATGCTCTAGGCTTTATAGATGCTGTGAACACAAGTCATGTTTTGCTGGTGTTTGGATAGAGTACTGTACTTTGTTTTGGCCAGAAGAGTTGACTGTGGAACACAGGTGCCCAAAAGAGTCTGTTCATGTTTTTGGCACCAAGTGGTATTAATTTTCATAGGAATTAGTGCCCCTCTACCTTTGGGAGATTTAATCTTTTAGTTTCATGTCCAGACTTTAAGTATTTAAAATTCCTTAGCCTGTGTTTTGATAAGGTGATGGGCCCTCTTTCCGGAGGCACACAAGGGACCTGGCTGTACCTTTTTGCAGTGGTAAGTTGCATTGGCCACGCACACCAGGTCCTCATTGGGCCAGCCATCCAGGTCTGTGTCCTCCCCGCAGATGATGCCATTGCCAGCGTAGCCGGGCTTGCACTCGCAGCGGTACATGGGGTCGCTGTAGTGGCCCAGGTAGTTGCACTTGGCGTTCTTGTTGCAGTCGTGGGTTCCATCCGTGCAGGGGTTACGGGGCTTGCACACCTAAGGGCACACCATCCTGCTGTTACCCAGAGCTTTCGAGGATCCCCAGATTTCATGGAAACAACAGTCCAGATCCCTGTCATCTCTGAGCAGACAGAGGCTCCATTTGGAAGAGTGTGGGTAATTACCTCTGTTCCTCCCCATTCTCCCTGAGGCTGTAGGCAAACTTTGCTTTATGTTTCTTTTTCTTGAATTTGCTCAGCACCTAGGCGTTTACAAGTCCATCTGCTCACAACTTATTCCAGAGCAGCATTTTTAAATATGGTAGACTATTTTTCCCCTGCAGGATTTACCATGGATTTTCTAGTCACATTTCTAAAACTAGACCATACATTCATCTCCTCGCCCTTTTTTTTTTTTTCGTGAATGGTATGAAATTACATTCCTCCCTCTCCTAGTTGTTTTGGTCAAGGACAGCTCTCCTCTCCTCTGGTTTACTCGTCTAGTTGACTGTACCTGTTTGTTGGCTGTGGCATATTCGACGCCCTGGCCAAAGGGCTGTGAGCCGGTGAAGCGCGGGGGGCAGGGCAGGCAGTTGTAACCGGGGTCCGTATTCTTACACCTGTGCTCTCCGTTGTGGTTGAAGCAGGCATCAGGCACTTCTTTGCACTATGGAGGAAATAAGAGCGTGCTTCGTGTTCGGAAGTCACTGCCATAAGGAAGCGACTGCACAGGTTAGCTGCTTTCCTAGATCCAGCAACTCGGAGTGCATCAGTTCCTCACCTCATCAACATCTGTGCATTGGATGCCATTTCCACTGTAACCAGGGGGACAAGCACCACATTTCCAGCTGCCATCAGGGTAGCTAGTACACTTCACACCGGCAAAGCAGGGATTGGACAGGCATCCATCTGAGACAAGGAGAGAGAGACAGGCACAGTAAATGGTTAGTCTAAGCTGCCGTACTGCCATGCTGAGCACTTAACACAGTGTAAGATATTATAGGGTATGGGGAACTGATAACTTGTTGGGATTATGTTGTCCATCTGCATCTTAGAATCAGATCACTCAGGACTAACCAAGCTGGAATCTCCTCGAATACTGACTGCAGCATTCAGTAAAATAGCAAAGCTCCTAGGTCCTTTCATCCTGGGCTGCGTGGCTCACCAATTGGACAGTCCTGCTTGTTGCAGATCTGGTTTTCTGTCACGTCACCAATGCAGTCCTTGCCTCCAAACTGGGGTGTGGGGTTGTTGCAGAGCCGGCTACGTTTCTGTACCCCTCCTCCACAGGTGACAGAACAGATGTCCCATGGTGACCAAGGACCCCAGCCTCCATTGACTGGAAGAAAATGAACCACAGGCAACAATTAAGATCAACTTTCAAATCCCTCCCTTGTCATAGGCTCTCCTAAGCCCGTTCAAGAAACCTCTGCTCCTCTGACACACGGAAAGAATGCTGGGGAAGAGGGTGAGTTTGTTTTTCATTAAAAGAAGTTGCTGAGCATGCAGGACTTTGCTTCTGTTTGTTTCTCTAGTAGGTAACCTTCCTGCTCTATGACCCACTGAACTGCAGGCTGCAGATGCCAGGCAACCAGCTGGGCAGAGCTGCTGCCCATGCTCAACCTTGCAGCTGAGCTCACACTTACTGGGGCAGGCGTCTTTCTTGCAGGCTTTGGTCTCCCGTGCTTCGCCTTCACAGGGTTTCCCGTTCATCTGGGGGCTGGGAGAGTTGCAGAGCCGGATCCTTGTGATCACACCGTCACCACAAGTCACAGAACAAGATGACCACGGGGACCAGTGGCTCCAGCCACCATCCTGTTTAACTAAAGTACAAAGTTGATGGTCACAAATGGTTTTGGCTTAGAGATAACCAAACAGAATCCCTCATCAGGAGCACACATGTTATTTCCAGGAAATGGTCAATGGCAACTAAACCCAGTGTACGGCAGAAATTGGCTCCTGGCCACAGGCACAAATGTCAACATGGAACGTTTTCTACTAGAGAACGGATAAGTGAGCTGTTTTTATGGGTTGCTGTTAATATCCTAACATTTACAGGGTGCTTACCATGAACCAAACTCAATGTTAACTGCTTTACATGCAGTAGCTAAAGAAAATGCTCAAGATAAACTTATCAAGAACTATTATTATCTCCAAGTTGCAAATGAGGAAACAGCCTCAGAGAGGGTAAGCTGTGCTCAGGTGTGCACAGCGAAGCAGTGGGATCGGGATCCAGAGATCCTAGAACCCGTGTTCTTAATGTCCATGCTGTGGAGCTGCCCTCGGTGATGACAACAAGGACAGGTCAGTTCTCCATGTCCCTAAGAGGCCAAGATGCTCACATCTCTTGTCGCACTCCTGAATGTGGCAGGTGCGTGTCTGGACCGAGGAGCCCTCACATCGGTTGTTGAGGCTATCACAGGAGCGGCCGCGCTGCTGAATTCCGTTGCCACAGCTCGTAGAACAGGAGGTCCACTCAGACCATGGAGACCAGCCATCGTCCGCAGAGTCGCTGGCTGCAGGCGAAACAGAGGTTCATCAGGTACATGATGATTAGGACAAGCTGTTCTTCAGAGGGCTCTGTTCAGGGCCCTCCACTTGCCAGAGGGTGAAAAGCAATACATTTCTTTCTTTTTGGCTTTACTGAGGTGTCACTGACAAAGACAATAGACATTTAAGGTGTATAATATGTTGTTTTGATACACACATATATTGTGATTACCACTGTCAAGCTAGTTAACACACCTCCATCATCTTACAGTTACTTTTTTTTGATGACTTAAGATCTACTCTCTTAGCAAATTTTAAGCATATAATCCAGTATTATTAACTACGGTCACCGTGCTGTACATGAACTCTCTAGAACACGATATGAGCCGGCACAAAGTTGCAGTTATACAGGATGAAAAGCAACATACTTCTTAGGCCAGCAGCCGAGGGATTTACCCCAGGTCATGATGTGTACAGCAGTGGGGTAATCGGATGCTTTGCCTGGCTCAGTACAGCTGAGCCTTCCCACAGTGTACGCTCTCCTAGTCATTGCTTTTCCTTTCTCCTCTCAGCAATGCAAATGAGTTTTCCTCTACTGACTTAAGATATCTGGGTAGGCATTTCCAGTCTCAGCCTTCCAGGAATGCGTGAGTCTGAGGAAGCGTATAGGAGCCGTTTCTGTCAGGGGAGCCATACACCATGTGTTTGACAGATGAGTTTGAAGGCAGCCGAGCTGTTGTTGGCTCTGGCTCCAACTCGGCCATGAGTTAGTCAGTTTGTTGTTCCTCTCACCCAAGCATTTGGGGCCTTCTCTGCACATACGGTCATAAGAGGACAGCATGTTTGTTTACCATCTGCCCAGGCACCACGGCTACAATCACATCTAGCTGTATCCCACAGAAGACAAAGGACTTATTTTCTTTGGACATTAGTTGTAAGTTTTCTTAGCAATCCCTGATTCAAGTTCAGAACTTTGCTACCTCCAGCTAGCTTTGTTCCTTTTAACGCACATCTCAAGTGAATGCGGAACAGAAAATAGATGTAAAAACGATCATTACAGTGCCAGTATCGCGAATATGATCCCTGGATGGAACTGGTTATTCTGAGCTGTGACAAGGGGGGGTGTGTGTGTGTGTCTGTGTGTGTGTATGTGAAGGGCACGTGCTGTTTTTCTGTTTTCTTCCTCATCTCAGTTGTGATGAATCACTTTTATAACTTGTACCTGCTACATTAAATATTGTCTCAGCAAAGTCATTAATTTTACTGGTAACAACAGCCAGGGATCAGGTGCCATGGAACAATACCATGCCTTATTTCTGTTGGTGCTCTGGAGCTCAAATTGCTGTTACTCTCTCAGGCCCTCTTATCCCTACAGATGAAAGGGGCAGAACTTCCAGGCCCCATCAGGCCAGCTCACACAATAAGCCTGTCAGTATCTCTGGTGAGCAGATTTTTCTTAACTCTGTGCCACTACGGTCAAATTCTAAAAGCAGTCAACTTACAGCGGTTGCTGCCACGTCTTCATCTCTTTTCCTCAAAGCAAAAAATCGGAATGAATGAGCTATACCAAGATCTTCACTGCCATTACTGCAATCCAGATGGGGTAATTATGACGTACTGATAATGGAGTTTTGGGCTGTGTACAGCAGATAAGCTGTCAGTTAAGCAGCTGCTGCAGCCAGAAACTGAATGAAAGCATGACGGAGATGGGGGTGGGGCTCCAGTGTTGTGCTCGGCTCTCTAGGATGTATGTAGAACTGATCTAGTCACTGAAGAATAGTTACGCCATTTGAGGAACTTACGCCAACAGCGAGGACAGCATTCTCCATCGGGAACTGTGGCATTGGAGCAGGGCATGATGGGACAGGACACCTTTTTGCAGATGGTAACTGAGTTCTGCAGGGCAAGAGAGTGAGAGGGGAACAGGCTGCTGAGCATGTTGCGTTCAGAAGTCTACATCCTGTAACATTTCCTTTACAAGCCAAAACATGGTCGGGGCTGTCAATGCTCTAGTGGAACGATTTTCATAGAAGATCTGTCTGTCAATATTTGCAACCACCACTATCGTAGAGACAGTTCTAGGGCTAGTTGACGTGTCACTCCATTGCTTGGAAAGTTCTTTTTAATTGCTACTTAGTCAAGGGTGGAAGTTACAGTACGAAGAATGTATAGCAGAGGAACCAACCAACATCATGGGCCAAATCTATGTCTGAAATCAAACTCAGGAAATTCAGCCAGGACTTTTACATTTTTATATTATGTGTTTGGGGGGAAGAAGGAAGATCTACAAGCATTTTTTTTTTCTCATCTATAGATCTATGACCTGTCTCTATATTGGGAAAGAACGGGAATTTAATGAAGTTGGTTCCCAAAGCCAGTCATCTGTGATTTGTATTTAAGCAAATTCAAATACTTTGCTATTAATAGATAAGCCAAGTGAACCTCCAAACTCACTGGCCACTGGCATGGGGGAATGCTAGAGTGAATAACACACAACTGGCATTGCCATCTGAGCCAAGTAGACAGTAACATCCTAACAGTGTCAGGCTAAGTGATTTGAAAAGCAATTGCTACTCTACCAAGAGAACCTATGCCAAAACTGAATATAAATCGGGGTTGGGGAAAAAAAAATGAATGTTCCAACCAGGTTTTATTTACTTGACATTCAACACTTAGTCTTTGAACTAAGGTAGGTAAATTATTCAGATGTCTTAGTAGATTCATTCTCTTAGATACTTAGCCTGGGGTGTAATTAATACTTTGATAAACCATCTGAGAGTTTAAAGAATAATTTATAGATGCCATAATTGCATCTTAAAGAAAAAGAAAAAAACACTTTGGTATCAGGCCATGGAACATAAAAAGAATCTCTGTGGTGATGTGGGTATTTCCCCAAAGATGCAGGTTCAAACAAAAGCTGTCGACTCTTATTCTGGTTGGTGAAGACTACTTACCTGACAGCGACACTCGGTGCAGCTATCAACAGTCCATTCCTCGTTATTTCTGTACTGAACTCCGTTGTGATAGCACAGGGGAGGCCGCCTCAGCTCATTGGCCAACTCTTTGTTCTCTTCAGTCTAAATGGGAGAGAATATCATTAGTGTCCACCCTCATTTTCAGTCATTTGGGGCCATCTGTGATAAACCTGCCAGGGTTCATGCTAACGGGCTGGGTGCAGAGGCCACTGACCACTTTGCGGATGCTGTCCTGCAGCGTGGTCACAATGGTGCGCAGGCCCCTGAGTTCCAGGACCATGCTGGACAGCTCATCACAGGAGATGCCGCAGATGGCTTGCAGGTCCTTTGTCTTGTGGCCAATGTAATTAGTGCGGATGGCAGGGCTGGAACCATTCACCACGTTGTTGTCAAGGGTGAGGAGGACACTGGTAGCTGGCAAGAAACAAAATGAAAACTTCAAAGAGAGACTCTTACCAACCAGCCTCTTGAGCTGTTAGTGGTAGAAGACGTTTCATTTGGTGTGAAGGATGCACGTAGAGGGGTGGCGTGTATGCGCACATGTGTGTATACATGTGTGTGTGTATGATACCCCTTGAGGTCACTTTTGTATGCCTCTTAATGATTTTACTGGGGGTAATTTACGTACAACCACTATTGCTAAATTCCTCAGCTTGTTTTTGGTGGAATTTCCCCCCGATTTCCCTACGTGCTCTAAAAATAGAGGGGTACTCACAGCTGGAGCAGCCTTTGTTCCTGAGGATGTCTTCTGGTGTGGTTCCAAAGACAAACCTCACATTCTGCAGCACCCCCTGTGGGCAGAGGATACACATTACTTGTAGAAAGCTGAGCGGGGTGGGGATGGGGTTGGGAAGGACTGTCTCTATGCTAGGAAAAGCATACAGTAGATGTTCTAAAAGCTTCAAAGAGCTGTCTGAAGATCACTGTGTCAAAATAACACAGCAACATAAATTGCCAAAAACTTCAAAATCTTCATTGTGACTTCTGCCAAGTCTTGAGTATTTTACAAAGAATTCAGTTATCAGCCTACTTGGGTACACAGGAAATGGAATCTGATCCTAAGCCCAGAGGATATAATGACACTTCCCAGTGTCAAAGAGTTAAATGTGGGAGTTCAAAGCCACCCTTGCAAAGATCTAGAAGTTAAGGCGCAGATGAAGCTGTAACAGCAACAACTAACTGCTATTTTAACCTTTTATGTGAGACCAGCTGCATCCCCATGAGGAATCCAATAGCAAAGTGGTACTGATTCTGCCCATAGAAAGTATCCATTTGAAACAACATTAAAATTGGGGGAATGCATTTGAAATAAGCTATTTTCTTAAGAGCCTAGGGAGTATCTAAGGCTTGAACAGGCTGATTGCTAAAGGAAAACCATTTCTTGTTTCCTTGAGTAGTTTTCAAAGTGTGCTTCCCAGACTACCAGCATCAGGATCACCTGGTACTTGTTAGAGTTGCCGTTTTACAGAATCCCAAACTCTGGGGCTGGGGTGCCGCAGCGTGAGCTTTCACAAGCCCTCCAGGTGATGCTCATGCTGCCTAAAATCTGAGAACTGCTGCTTTAGTTTACAGACAGGATTTCCTGTAGCCCTCCTGGCTGGTCACCTGTCTAGCAGATGATCCAACGGAGCAGGGCTCAGAGAAGAAGCCTCACCTGGAAATTGTCATTGACGCCCCCCTTTGCGATGCGGAGTCTGGCGATGCTGGCCAGGTCTCTGGTGAAGACGCTCTGGATGGGGACGTCCAGCTCGGCATTCTCCATCTTTTCACAGTCGATGTACAGCTGGGCCCTGTCTTCCTGCACAAACAGGGTGATGCTCTTCCACTGGCCGGTTGCCAGGAGAGCTTCTTCCACAGACACCACGTGCTGCTTTCCTTGGACGGTCAGGCTGAGGTCCAGGGTGCCCGCCTTGCCGTTGGACACCACGCTGAAGACCTGGCCAGAGTGGTCTTTCCGCTCCAGGGCCAGCAGCGTGCCCCGGGTCTTCTTCATCTGCCTCAGGGAGGCCAGAAGGAGGAAACCCTTCTCGGCCCGCACAGCATCCACCAGGTCTTGGAACTTGTCATCAGGCACAGGGGGGATCAGGTTGGCATCCTCGATGCGGAAAGCTGGGCTGGAAGGGTCAGGACCCTTCACCAGTCGGCGCCCAGACCCCTTGCGGGCAGCCCCGGTGAGTTCAAAGATGTCAAACACGCTGTTGTCTCCCCCAGACTCTGTTAGGCAGGAGAGAACACATGGTGAGCTTTGGAGGCTGGGACCAGCGGTAGGGGGCTGAGTCCTTAGGGGTGGAGACAAAGGGCTGGGGTGAAAACTCCTGGCAGCCACTGAAAGAGCTGAATAAACACCAGGATCAGAGTGAAGCTGCGTCCTGATGTCCAGTCAGGCTCAAGAGCAAAGGAGCTGGGAGAGGACAGCATGTGAAGGGGCACACCTGGGGTAGCCAGCCCCTCTTCTTCGTCCCTCCTTCCCCTAAAGGTGCCACACAAACTCACCTGGAATGCGGTTGGTGCCACACACATGCAACAGGAACAGGACGCCTAGTCCCCAGGCCAGCCCCATGGTGGAGCTGTTGGTGCCCAGCAGGGATCCTACAGCAGGAAGCACAAGAGCCCAAGGTCAGAGATCAGTTAGGCAGGGAGGGTGGGCAGAAACCGGGCTGGGCATGGGGACGGGGCCGGGACCATCCCTCTTTGACCCCGCGTTTGCTGAAATGAAGGACAACAGGATTACTTTCCAGAGAGCATGAGAGAGAGAGAGAGTGAGAGAGAGAGAGAGGGAGAGAGAGACGTGGAGGAAAGAGATGCTGGTTTTAAAGTGTGGGGGGCGCAAGACCAACAATTTGGGGGCTTTTGGGAAGTCGAAGGTGAACAAGATCAGGAGTGTAGTTTGGAGTTGCAGGGAGGGCACGGGGAAGTACAGACTCTTCCCTGGAGTGCTGATACAAAGGCTTAAGGAGGACTTCAGAGAGTAAAGAAATCTTGGGGTGTCCTGATCAGTTGGTTTGTGAACCCCAAGGCTGGAGAGGATGGCTCTGGAGCCTTGTCCCGAAGAGTCCTCCAGCGGCCGAGAGGGGCGGGCTGGGGCAGGAGAGCGGGGAGAGTGTAGGTTCCGGGGTCCACCAGAGGGACTGAAGCCTCAGCGCTCCAGGTGGATGTCCCCGGCAGCTTTGGTCCTCGGCGGCCGCCGGGGGCGACTTACCTGTGTGGACCGGAGCGCGGCGGCCGGGAGCGGTGGAGAGGGCGGCGAGGGCTGGAGGGACGCGGGGACCGCCTGTGCGTCCGAAGTGGAGGTTGCGCCGGGAGAGAGGCAGGAGCCCTGAACTCGCAGGCCAGCTCGGGCGCAGTGGCTGGCAAGGCGGAGGAGCAGCGCGCTTTTAAAGGGGCGCTCGCATTCCTGGGGATTCCTCCGGCCAATGGGCGGCGGCCGGGCAGGAAGCGGGAGGGGGGCCAGTCTGGGCTCCTCTCTCCGCCCCCCGCTGCCTGGCGCGCAACTTTCCAGCTAGAAAGTGAAGGGGGCGGGGGTCGGGGCTTGGGAGCACTGGAACTTCTCAGAAAAGTCGGTGCCCGCCCACGCAGCCTTGGCGCGCACGGGCTAGGCGCTAGCGCTCTTGCGCCACGCGGGCTCGGGGTGATCAGCGAGCATCCCGAGCAGGGACTGGGCTGGGGCGACCACCCAGGAGGGCCCGCGGGGTGGGGCAGGGGCTTTCGGGCGAGCCGGTCTCCCGGAATGCCTGGGTGATGGCTGAAAGGTGAACACTAGAGACTGGGCCCGATTTGTAAAAAGAAAAATGGGCCGACGGGGCGCAGGGGACCCCAAGAGAGCCATTCTTTAAAATAGCTGCCCCTCGGGCCCTCGCTGACCTTCTTCCACCGTCCCGGTGGGGTGAGGACACGCGTCCCCCTAGCGCCTGTCCTGAGTTGGCCCCACGCCCGCCCCCGCGGGAGGTGAGCGCGGCGTCGGCGGGGCCGGCGGGTTGTTGCGCGGCGCTCGCCTTCGCTGCCTTCGGGCGCTTTCCTGCCGCGGCTGCCGGGGGCCCACAGAGGCGCCTCTCCCGCTGCCGCGGCGCTCCCTCGGCCGGCCGCTTGGGGGCGGTGTGCGTATTCTCATCAAGGGGCCCGGGGAGGACAGCTGCTTTCTACTCGAATTTTAAGGAACCTTACTCGTATCCAGTTTCCTCAAGCCAAATTGAAATTGTGTCTTGAAAAACAGTTTTTGTGCCCACTCGTGCCTCTTAACGTGACTCCTGTTTGGAGAATTTGCAGAACCATCTGGCTCCAGAGTCTTCAACTCTTTACAGAACAGACCCATAGAGTAATAAATTACTCTCTGCCTGTTATTGTATTTCCCTCTTTCCTCCCTAAACGTTCTTTTCGTTTTTCGGCTCCTGAACCCGAGGTGTGGGTTACATTTCTGTGGGTGCACGCATTGCCATGAGTGCCGCTGCCTAGTGCTTCTGTCATTGAAGTCTGGTCTCCAAGCCACTGTCCCAAGCCAGCATGACTCCAGCTGCCTGGAATTCCATTCATGTCTTCGGGATGGGACGTCAGCAGCCTCGCTCCCTGTGCCGTGGTCCAGCGCTATCGGGCTGGCTCCGGGGCCAGGGCATAGGTAGAAGCTTGACCAAATAAGGATCTCAGCACAGCCAGGGGAAACCCCTGGGGTTCACCTCCCATCTTAGCAGTTAAACCTGGCAGAACTCCCGACTGCTGCAAACAGCCAAGGGTTTACATTCATCAAAGAGCAATTTCGCTTTTTTTGCGTGGGAGTGTTGTATGACAAGATGGGGTGTGTGTGTGTGTGTGTGTGTGTGTGTGTGTATTACGGAAAGAGTGTTTGCTAATTACTCAACATGCATATCAAGAGCCTTTAAAAGATGACCGGTATGTTGCTAAGGCACATGTTTGTTTGTTGGATTTTAGATGTTGGGAGGCCGTAAGAAAAGTTTCTGTTGGTTGATGAGTAAAATTGGATTCTTGTCCCGCAAATCATAGGTAATGATTCATCCAAGCAGATCTAAAGATTCTGGAGTTGGCACCCATCCCTCTCTCTCCCCTTCCTTCTCCTTCTACAGCATTCACCTTGCTCTTTGAAAAGTGATTGGGATTTTTTTCTTCTTCTTTCCACTTGCTCCATGATATTGGACAGAGACAGTTCTTGGAGGGATGGGCAGCTGATGGCTTTGGGTTCCTCTGGCCCACTTGATCATTGTGTACAGATCAGATGAGGGCTTGAGGGCTGCAAGAGGCCCACGGAAGCAGGATGCATCTTGTATGAAA